AACCTTTTATTTACATGTAACACTTTTTGGTAAAATAAAATGAAAATGCAAGGGCTTATGAATATTATTCCTCCCATTTCTCTTGGTAGATCAAAAATAAATCACGTATTTCAATTCCCCCCTTCCGTTTCTGTAACTTAGTGTCACAGTTATAATTAACATCAGTGATAAGCTTTTTAATAGCTGCCACGAAGCTAAGAGTTAATCACAAGAGTCAAACACATCTTTTATTTTCATTAATCAGTAATTAAATGTAGTTCCTCCATAAATCAGAGACTTTTTGTACAGTGGCTGATTAGCAGGCTATGCATTATAATAGCTCTTCCACATTAGCTCTTTAATTAAAGCATATATCCAGAACATTTAACCAGATTTGATCAAATGTTCATGTCAAAATCATGTTTCTTATTTGTCAGAAACCCTTTTTATTGACAAAAATTGAACTGTGCTTTAGAATTATCAAATCCTGGCTTTTGACCAGAAGAGTAAGATTTGCCCAATGATACAAAACTGAGCATTTTTTCTGGGTTTAGATTGTCTCATTAAAGTCAGATTATATTTAGACTGCACACCAAGAGGCTCTTAGCTCTTTGTGTTTCTGTATAAAACAGTATAGTAAAGGTTAAATTGAAAAAAAGAAACACAAAAAAAATAATGAGGAACAGTTTATTTAGTTTATGACTCTAGTAAGAATTATTTAGAACAGTGTATTGTTTTAATCTGTATTCAACAGTTGCTGGGTGGTTGTAAAAGTACAACTTCCCCTGCTGTCCAGGCTGATTGTGCAACACAGGGCTTACCAAATTGCTGTGGGCTTCATCGTAGTTACATGCACTCTCTGGGATTCATAATCAAGCTGAATCAGGATGTTGGGCTTAGTTAAAGAAAGCGAAAGCTAACAAGACAGTACCAAACACAAAATGAGACAAGTTGGAACATGACCGGGTCCTGCACCAACACCATGAGATCCAGAAGCCCCTGCCCCATTAAAGTGCTTCCTCTGTTTGTTCACCGTACACACAGGGGAAGCTGCAGTGATTGTGCTATTTTCTTCTATTCAATAAAACTCACACGAGTGAATCAAGTTAAAGTCTTAGGAAACAGAAGTTGAAGAGAGATCCACAATTTATCCTATGATAAAGCTTTTACAGGGTTTCTGTATAAAAAAAATCATTAAAAGTCATTAAATTATTATTCTTTAAATTAAGGCCTTAATTGGCATTAAAATTCATTAAATGCGATCATCGTAGCATTTAAAATGCTTTATTAAAAAAAAATAGATAAAAATTTCTAAAAACAATTTCAACAATTCGGGACAGGACTGCAGCCTGTCGATGGTCGAGATGATGAAGGATTTTGCTGTGTTATTTATATAAAAAACGTATATATACTGCTATGTATATATCTATATATATATACAAATAAATTATTTCTAAGAGCAATAACAAAGCATTAAAAGTTAATTAAGAGTTAAGATTTAATCATTCCTGTTTAAAATCTGTATTATATTATGCTGTAAAGGTGTATGTTGTATTACTCTAAGAAGAAAATAATGTTTTATATTTTAACTTTAAACCATTTAGTTAATTTTTATTCTTTTGAACTGTAGGATATCTGCTTATATTAAGCTGAATCCATCGATCAATCCATTTCCTATACCTCACTTATCCTGATAGATTGGTCAAGAGGATTGTCTCTATGTCCAGCAGTCAATAGGATGGAGGCTGGGTACAACCAGGATCTGTGGACAGTGCATTCCATTTCCAAATACACATGCATACTTCAACAGTTGCAATAAAGTTTTCTAAATAAGAAGAAAAAAAAAGGAAAATGTCAATTGGGAGTGTAGCAGAAAATATTAAATGCTATAGACAGTTTTTTAAGACCAGGTAGTAGAAAAAACTTGCTGCTCTCTGAAGAAAGACATTGCTCTCTAGATAATGTTTTTAAAAGCTCAGAGGTAAGACTCTAATTGCTCCCAGCCTTCCATGTTTCCAACAGCCTATTGTTTTCTCGTTTCTATAATCAGCATAGCCAATCACCAATCTAGATTTCTTCCCTCTTTGAGAATTTGATAACAAGGTTGCACGGTCAGTGATGCGGTAAGATAAGGAAAGACAAAATTAATTTCATGACTTTGCCTCTTGCCCGGGAGATATTTCGCTGCCTCGTACTCTGAAAAGAGCACAGAAAAGAGACATTTTCTTGGATTACTTTGGAAAATGTGTCAGACTTTTGTTGACCTATTTGGATTGAGAATGTTTGTTTCCTGCATAGGATTCGTAGGGAATATGTTTCTCATTGTTTCCATTTTCAAAACCAAAGTATCAAACATTAAATCTTTTGAGCTTTTTCTCCTGGGACTCGCTTCAGCCAACCTAGAGGAAATTGCCATCATAAACATCTATGACGTTGACATTCTTGAGACTTTTTCCACAACCAGCACCTGGGTGTGTCGTCTTCTTAAGTTCATGACTACTTTTGGCGAAATTGCCAGCATCTTCTTCACTGTTGTCATTAGCATCTACCGCTACCAGAAGCTGAGAGACATCAACAGCAGGGGCAGTCTCCCGATTTGCCTGGACAGCATCATATCTGCCTGGATGTTGAGTGGAGTTTGTGTGATGATTTCCACCCTCCTCAGTCTACCAATGTTTGTCATTAGTGTTCAAGGATCTGTAGAAAACATGACGGAAAACCTTGGCAGCTGCTCTACTGATTTTTTTCACTGTGGTGAGAATTATTGTCCCACCCGCAACCAAGTGTATAAATACTTGATCATGCTCCTGTGCCACCTGCTGCCCCTAATCATTGTCACCATCACCAGCTGCCTGACCATCACGGTGCTCCTGAAAAAGAGGAATACAGTGACGCCGCAGAATGGTGTTAGATACCCTAACCACCACAGTGGGGAAAGTCATGGACTTCATCGAAGTACAGTGGCTGTGGTGGCAGCCATGGGATTATTTCAGGTAGACTGGAGTCTTTATCTAATCCTTCAGTGGACTTTTAGCCTGAGTGACTGTCCTATTTGGTCTGAAATTGAGTTTTTTATCTCAACATCCTATGTGTCTATTAGTCCATATGTGTATGGCATAGGGAGTCATTTGTTTTCTCTTGGGAAATGTAAACAATTGCTTAGGCTTTAAACTGGATTTGAATGGGCTATATGCCAAACTCTTTCCTAAACTTCAGCTGGCTCCTATGTTTTTTGTCTTTCATTACTGGACAGACTGATTAATCCAGGTATGTCTGACTTCAGTAACCATGACGACACTGGCCAGACACCCCTGGATTAAACAGTCTGTCCAGTAATGAAGAAGAGGAAAGAGAGGAGCTGGCTGAAGCTCAGGAAGTAGTGCAGTTTGGCATATTGCTTGATCATTGGAATGAAAGTAAAAAAGTCTCCTTTTTATAGAAGCTTAGTAAAATACTAAACCTTTAGAAGCATAATTAGTGGATGAGATAGATTTACATTCACTCCAAAATTATTGCCATGTTTGGGAAAAATATTGTTCTCTAATTTCTTAACAAGATTTCAGACTGAAACTGAGTCTGCTTCTATCTGGAAGACTACTTAGTGTCTATGTGTTGTTTTAAACCAGCTAAGATGTTTTCATCTTAAAGTTCTTGATGGCATCAATGCAGAAATCTTGTTGGGATTTGTTGAACATAAGTAAAATCCCAGCAGCACAATTCATCTGACTGTTAGTTTGGATGTACAAGTCAGATCAAGAATAACCCAATTATAATTGTTCAATATGTACTATAATGTAATTAACTATTAAACATGTACACTGTAACTGTCTTATTTCCTTTACTTTCATAATTTATACCCAAATATTTGTATTTTACTGAGCAACATGAATATAGAAGCTTTTTAATTTTTTCTTAATCTAACTTTATATTTCTTTTTTAACTATCTTGGTTTTGCCACTGTGGAGAAATACTGAAAATGATGTATCTATTTACTGCACTTATCCCCAACCTGGTACCCATATGAATGTGGACTGGTATTTTTGCAAATATGAAAGGAAATAAGACAAATATAAGCTCTATTTAACCATTAATTCATCCTTGTTTTGTGTTTTACCATCACACGCAAGCTTTAGAGTGACCTTAGAAAGTCTATGGGTCAACAACACTAAGGAAGTTTTTTTTTATTGTTTGCATTTATTTGTGACTATATGACCGACTGTTCTGACTCAAAGAGCAGCTTTTGATATTCAAAACACCGTAAGGGAAGCATAATTGAATGGATAACCAAGTTTTCTTATAGTTTTTGATTTGGGATAGTCTAACACGTGAGTTGCATTTTTTTTTTCTTATGAACAGACCAATGCATGTTGGGCTTATGGTCACTGAGCGCCGCCATCTTGTTAAACCCCTAGGCCAATCAGATTTGATGGCATTTTGTTAAGCCTGTCTACTTTGATTTAGTTGGGATGTCAAATATCTACTCCTGTAAGTTTGTAAATACAAAATAATCCGCCCTTCCATGGAATTAGTTCATACGGACATTTTTGTTTTTTGTGTTCAAAGCCATTTGAGCCACGCTAAAACCAAGTGACCGATAGATGTGTCCGAGAGGAGCGGCTCGCCCATTGGCTACTGGAGCTCTACCGCCTTGCTGGATGTGTGACGTCACTGCCCCTGAGCGCGGATATGTGCGCGCGCGTGTGTGTGTGTGTGCTTCACAGAGGGTGAGAATGGAGATGAGATCTAAAAGGTTGAAGTGAAGGAAACCCACAGGAAGAAAGGCGAAGTGTCACGCCTTGCACAGTTCAGACCCAGACCAACTTGCTTAGAGTTGTCTCTACCGGCTCGCGGACGAGGAGCTCGAGGTGAGAATAAGAAGGAAATAATTATTATTAGAATGATGATGGAAAAATGAGCTCTTGGAGGTGGCTGGGCTCCCTCTTCCCTCGCGCTGGCGGTTTGGGAATCACGCGCCATTGAAGAGTGGGGGGTGATACGCGCTGTGCACGCGCTTCTGGCTCAGCGGCGTGCACAGGTCGGTCGATGGGAGCTCAGCGGCGTGGCTCTCGGCCTCCATTTGCCAGTTTGTGTTTATGTTCGAGGAATTTACCGAGGCTCGTTTGGGCGACCGGGAAGACGCGCAACAGTTGGAGTCCCGCCGCGGACGTTATCTTTCCACGGCGGCGGTGTGACACGAGGTGTGGGGGGGCGCTGGGAGGGGGGGCTTTTCACCAAACGGGCAACTTTTCCAACTCTGAGCGGCGGAGGGCGGCCTTCCTCCCTGCTGCTGCAGCGTGTGAGAAAGAAAGGTTGTTGTTTGATTACCGATATTAACAGCTCGTCTTTCTAACTAACCCTGGTGACATTAGTTATTAAAGGCTGTAACCACATCGGTAGTTACTCTAATCTTTGCTAACACCTTTGTTATGAAGCGTTTCTCTGCTGGTGTGAGTGGGGGGGCTTGATGACTGCCGTTAACCAGGTTGATTTTATTTAAAGGTGATTTGATCGTAGGGAAATATAGACGTCAAATAAAAGAGGTTTCTTCTATTTATTCCTCGGGTTTCAAATAAAGATCATTTTAGTAAACAAACTATTTGAATCCTGTTAAATATTGCTAGAAGAAACTTGGCCCTCCCGATGAAACACTGAGTAAATTGGAAAAAAAAAAGCAGCTTTAAGGAAGTTAAATGTTTACTAATATAAATTTTAAACTTGGTAGAAATTATCAACATTGACACGTCCTACAAGACCACATGTGGCCTTTGTTTATAACTTTTTCAGGGTGGGAATGATTTGCTGTCTTTTTATGTTTTTTTTTTTATTATTATTTTCTTATAAAGAAAAAAATAGCCCTTAATAAGGGATTTGTATTTGCATATTTTGCAAACATTCTCAATGAGTTTTGAATATGTGCGATTTGGGAAGATGTTTTCATAAAGCCGGGCATAGACTGTGTGATATTTTCAATATTTGCACGCACTTACAGCTCAAACTGTACCATGAAAGTGCAGAGTTTAAAAGTTTGCATCTCACGATGTATGTTCTCACACTTTGGGTCGACGC